TCGGAGGGGGGGGGACCCCCCCGGTTCCGGAGGAAAAGGGCGGCAATTTTCCACAGTAAAGCGGCGGTGGATCACGCTCTCTCAATTATTGTGACATCAGGCATACGCTTACTTCCCATCGAAGAGCCCCAATCGCTCTTACTTGATCGATTCGTGCCTCGCTGTCGTATTCGTGTTTCATGCGGTTTGTTATCCTTCTTCCTCCTTCTTCCTCTCGCGCTTTGCCGCTCTTCTCTCTCTCTCTTTCTCTCTATCTCCCTCTCTCTCTCTCTCCCTCTTTCTCTCCCTCTCTCTTCTTCCTTCGCCCTCTTTCTCCCTGTCCCCCGCCGCCGGCTTATACACCAACGTACTCTTCTCCGCTACCCGACATTATCCCGCCCGTCCCCCCAGTTTCTCGCTGGATGCCCCAGCGCAGTCCCCCGCCTTCCGACCCTTTCATCCCCCTCGCTTGCCCAAGCAGGAAACTCGACCCCTAAGGGGTCGAGTCGCCCTCTACAGCTGCATCTCGAAAGGTGGCCGCCTCTTTTGCCCCCCTCGGACAGGGGCAGCTCACAAGCCCCTCTCGGTTGGTGCCCACCACCTCTATCCCCCCGGTCAGGGGCCCAGACACCACCGAGGAGTGGCATTCTTCACGGCGCCATATACAGGGACCAGCCACCCTGAAGGCTGTGCATTCCGCCAGTATCCTCCTCCTCCTCCTCCTCCTCTCCAGGGTGGAGGCGTTTTGTATGTGCTGGCCTTTGGAGATTTCTGCAGGCCTCACCTCCCGGGATCTCCGGAGACTTCTGGGAATGGAGCTCGTCGTTGGCGTCGGAGTCCCTCCTCCTCTGGAGGTTTGGCCTTTGGAAGTTGTGCTGCCGGTTTTGGCCTCCAGGGGCATCAAGAAACCTCCAAGGACGTCTCTGGAGCTTCACCTGGGGCCCGATTCTGAGGACCTGGAAAATTGTTTGGCCGTTCTCATATATTTGTTGGACGGATTTCGCTGAACATGCTCTCAGAAGGCTGACGCGGGCTTCCCAAAAGGTTCTCCGCTCTGTTTTGAAGATTCTCGACTGCTCTCAGGAGGTTCTCGCAGGTTCTCGAGGGCTTCGTTGGGGTAGGCACAAACTCTTGAGGTGCACGGGGGCCAGAGTTTCGAAATTCGGGGCCGACTGCGTCCAGGATCCATTTCCAGGTGAAGGCGTGGGCTGTCCCCATGGTCATCCTCCTCTTGCACCTCCTCATCCGTCTCCTCCTGCTTGTCCCCCCATCACGTGCCCTTTGTCTCCTCCTCCGCCGAATGTCAGCTTGTAATTAACACATGATAACCCCCCCGGGGGGCTGATGAATAGACCCCGCGGGGCGCACAACAATTTGTTTTAATCACGCGCTCCAGGGGGTCGTCGCGGGCGCCGCCGAGGGGATCGTGTACCCCGCATGCATGGCAGTCTCAGAACGATTGCCTGCCGTATAGAACTTGACACATGGGATCGTATACATCGGAGGGGAAGTGTTTCCCCCCTCTCCGGCTCTCCGGCTGATCACTAACGTGCCACAGTCGTCGTCCTTGTTTTCGTTGTTTTCGTCGTCGCCGCCATCGTCGTCGTCGTGGTCGATTGCAGCGGGCCTACGCAGCACCCCCTATGGGGCATCATCCGCAGTGCGTCGTTGCCGCCGTCGTCGGCGTCGTCGTCCTCGTCCTCGTCGTCGTCGTCGTCGTCGTCGTCGTCGTCGTCGTCAGATGGCGTCGTCGTCGTCGTCGACTACACCGGGCCTGCGCAGCAACCCCCCCTTACCTCCCACCCACCCCTTGGGCATTCGCACCTCCCGCCAGGTTCTTTCAACAACTATCGAAAGCACGTGTGTGGGGGGGCTTGGCCATTGTGGGCCAGGGCGTAAGAAAGATGCTTGTTGTTTGGTCACCCTGCCACTTGTGACATTTGTTGTGTCTTTGGGCACTCATTGCACGCGAGCTACACTTGCAAAATATTGTGAGACGCTCCACCGCCAGCAGGCCCCATTATTCCTCCCTACGCGAGTGACCGTATCGGAGAGCCTGGACGCTGTCCGCAGCGGTGGTGGATCGTTCGTTCCTTAATCATCATGTTACTCTCAACATGTTCCTTCCACAATCCGTCGTCCGCATCATCTTCATCCTCATGCCGCCCTCCTCCAACGTCCTCATCCTCACTCTTCCGTCTTCCTCCTCCTCCCTCCTTCTCCAGCCCTTCTTCATAAACAGCGCTCCACCTCGCCTGACCACTGGGCTTCCAGCCCCCAGCTTTCGTAGGACATCTCTGGTTTCGAGGGGAAGCGCACGGACGTGAATGGACGGCGGCCGTCCCGCGCGACACTGCCACGTGCGCGCCAGTGCCCGAGGAGGAGGAGGAGGAGGAGAGGAGGAGGAGGAGGAGGAGGAGGAGGAGGAGGAGGAGGAGGAGGACAGAGGGGGAAGTTGGAAGGGAGGAGGGGAGGAGAGGGCTGAGGTGAGGAGGGTTGATGAGTGGGGGAGGAGCAGGAGCAGGAAGAGGAGGAGGAATTGGAGGAGGAAGAGCTGACGTTACAGGAGGGCCCGACAGCATACCGAAGAAACGACAGTGAGAACCCTTTTCCTCCGACGTACGTAGCACTGTTTCGGGACGTGCCCCCCCCAGGCGTTTTTTTTTTGTTTTTATATATATATATATATCTCGACCCGCTTTCTGAGAGCGTGGGGCCCAGAAGAAGCCCTTGGATGCTGAGAATGTCAAATGGCCTGATGGCAATACAGTGAACGGCTTGACTAAGGAACACTTAATTTTCAAAAGGGGCTCGGTCGTTCCTTAGGTTTGTGTGCGTCATTAATCGTTCCTTATGCGTCATGTATTAGTTTGTCGTTCCTAATGAGTTTTACTCTTTGGAAAAAGGGGCTTCGTTCCTTATTTATCGTTCCTTAGGTCAGGCCGACGACTGTATTTGTTCCTGACGCCCAGGTCTGAGGGGGGAGGGGGGGGCGAGCGCACGGCCAGGTCAGGCTCGGGGTCCGATTCGACTTGGATCGAACTGGGACGAAGGCCACTGCCTCCTCCTTGCTATCGCAGGGAAGCGTCTTCTGTGAGGATCTCGACCTGCGGATTTTCCAGTACAGTAGGGGTCTTGGAGAAGGAACCCTTTTCGTTGGGGAGGGGCTCCGTGTTCCTTGATTGTTTCACAGCTTGCCTCAGGTTTTCCCAAGGTTTTCGATGGGGAATCGAAGTTGAACTTGTGGATAGAAGGGGCCTCGTTCCTTATTTTGGGTTCCTTAGGTCAAGGCCCCGACGGTGCATGCTTGAAGATCCAGGAGGACATGACAGAGCGTGGGTTACCCTCCCAGACGAGCACATAACTGTTTCTTCTGGGCGGCGCAGGGAACCAAACACCTCCACAGAGGCTCTCACCTGCGAGCGATACTGCGACAGAACACTCTACTTTGATCCACGGTCTGAAGAGCTGCTGCCTGCGTCCTTCACGCAGGCTGCACGCTCCACCTACGGGGAGGCACACGAAGACTGGCGTGAACCCGGTGGCGAGAGGCCCACGGCACACCATGACTGGCCTGCATGCCGTGCCTCTGCTTGCCCTTCGAGTCGCATGCCCATCGGGACGTTTGCCATGCCACGAGGCTGCGCCCGCCGATCGCGGCCGACCGGCTCGTGCCCGTACGCACGGCATGCTCGGCGCGGTCAGGCTGCAGGACGGCTTGGTCGGTCCCAGCGGCGGTGTCGCTGAGCTCCTGCCTTAGGGGGCCACATGCGAACCCTACCCCTCCCCCCACGATTTCTGAGGGGGAGGGTGGGGTTCACTTCGCTCGGGAGCTCCCGAACGAAGTGAACCCCACCCTCCCCCTCAGAAATCGTGGGGGGTAGGGGCAGGGTTCGCATGTGGCCCCCTATGCCTGTCCACGTTGGGCGGGTGGATCTCCTCGGAGTTGTCGTCGACCCTGACGACCCCGACGGAGCGCAGCTTGACGATGCGCTCCGGGTCCTCGCAGGCGGGATCGCTCAGCTCCTTGCTGTCCGCGTTGAACGGGTCGTCCACGTTGGGACGGAAGCCGACCTGTTCGACCAGCGAGCTGGCCATGTTCGCGCAGTTGATCGGCATGTTGGTGTTGCACCCCATGGCGATGCCACTGTGCAGCACCGCAGCGCACTCTTCGAGATTGTCGTTGCAAATGACTGGCCTCTGCTTGTCGATGCGTTCGCAGAAGCTCGCAGGAGGTGTCGCTGAGCTCCTTGCTGGCCACGTTAGGCGGGTCATCCACTTTGGATTGGAAGCCGATCTTGTCCTCTGTCGGGATGATGTGTTTCGCGCAGTCGATCTCCATCTATGTGGTGAGCGCCGAGTCGGTGGCTCTGTTCAGAGCCGCCTCGCACTCTTCAGTTTTCTCCTAGATGTTCCCACAGGTGGTGTCGTTCAACTCCTTGCTGTCTACTGGGCGGGCTAATTAGTCTCTTCGGAATTGTCGCTGCCGGGATTAAGCTTGCCGATGCTCTCCAGCGTCTCGAAAGTGGTGTCGCGCCGCTTCCTGCTGTCCGCGCGGGGCGTGGCGACCACGTTAAAGCGGACACCTGTCTGCTGCACGCTCGAGCTGTCGAGCAGTGCATCTAGCAATTCGTCCTCCGCGGGCGCGGGGTAATCGCCTAGAGCCGTCTGCACGATGCCGTACAACCAGAAAATATACTCTCAACAGGAGTCGAAGGGAGTGCCGATAGTTGTGTCATGCACGGCTGGGATCTCCACGACAATGTACTTGGTCCCAGCCTGTGTGGGAGCGTGTTCCAGATAGGTAGCACGCTCGGGGCCTGCCGCGGCCGCCGCACTGTCAGGTCGTGGAAGCTTGGGAGGAGGACGAGGCCGTGCCGATGGAGCTGCTGGCAGTGCGGCGAACGGCTCCAAGCCAGAGCGCTGTGTCCTGCGGGCCGCCGAGCGATGGAGCCGATTTCGCCGCGCCATCGACGACGAAGTACACGAGGCGGCCATCTTGCAGGCGGCACGCTCCCTGTCGCACATTGGCCGGTGGTGCGGAAGCTGGCAGAAGGCCAGCGGGCACCAGGAGCCAAGATTGGTGTTTGAATGGGCGCTCTGGGCAGCATTTGAGCGCGGGGAGAAGTCGCGCGAGCGTCGTGGCCCCTATTGGCTATCTTCTTGCTTGTCTCTAATGCTGCGGGACGGCAATTCACGGCTGAGGCGGATCCCCACCCTGCGCGCCCGCGAGCGCGTTCTCGTCGCAGGTGAATGGGATTTGTCTCACGCGTGGCCGTCCCGCTGGCGGGATGCGTTTTTCGCGCGCGTTCGCTTGGCCGCTCCGCCGCCTCTTTCTCCCGTCGCAGGTTTCCCTCCCCCCCCCTCCCGCCCGCGCGCGCGTCGCTTGACCGCTCCGCCGCCTCTCTCTCCCGTCGCAGGTTCCCCCCCCCCCCCCCCTCCTCCCGCGCGCGCGTTCGCTTGGCCGCTCCGCCGCCTCTCTCTCCCGTCGCAGGTTCCTCCCCTCGCCCCTCCTCCCGCGCGCGCGTTCGCTTGGCCGCTTCGCCGCCTCTCTCTCCCGTTGCAGGTTCCTCCCCTCCCCTCCTCCCCCACAGGTCCGCGCGTCTACTTCGTGGAGAGCACCTACGTCCCTCGTCGGTTTTGCGGCTCGAAGGTCAGGACACACATGAGTACGGGTCATCCTGGGCCGAATGCCGACCCAGTGCGCAGTATGCCTGCGGATGCCGTATGCCGGCCACTTGTCCCCTGCGCTGTACTGCAAGTGCGCGCCGTATGCTGGTCCCTTGTGCGCAGTATGCCTGCGGATGCCGTGCGCCGGCAATCATTCCTCTGTGCAGTATGCCTGCAGTGCGTGCCGTATGCCGGCCATTGTGCGCAGTATGCCTGCGAATGCCGAATGCCGGCCCTGTACGCAGTATGCCTGCGATTGCTGCCTGTCAGCCCCTCTCCGCAGTATGCCTGCGCGCGCGGCTGCGTGCCTGCAAGTGGGCGCCGTATGCCGGCCATTAAGCGCAGTATGCCTGCGAGTGCCGTATGCCGGCCCCCCCCCATAGCGCAGTATGCCTGCGTGCGTTGCAGTATGCCTGCAAGTGTGTGCCGTATGCCGGCCCTTGTACGCAGTACGCCTGCGGTTGCCGTATGCCGGCCCAGTACGCAGTATGCCTGCGGATGCTGCCTGTCAGCCCCGGTGCGCAGTATGCCTGCGGCGTGCGTCTGCCTGCCCTCTTGCGCTGGATGCCTGCGGGTTCTGTCGCGTGCAACCGCCAGCGCGCGATAAGGACGCCGAGGGGGATACGTGCACGGCGCTTTCCGACGCGCGCGCAGCATCCATGGCGCTGGCTCGCTCAGACATCGTTGAGTTGCTCGGCGTTCTGCCTGCTGGCGCATTCGGCACCGACAAAAATGCCATCAGGGCGCGCGCGCGTCTCCGTGCGTCTACCGCGGGCATCAGCCCACTCGCAGCGGCGCGCAAGGCCGATTGGGCCCTCTTCGTCGCAGCGGCCAACGCGGCGGAGGGGGGCGCATCGCCAGCTCCCGAGCTGGTGCTGTGCACCACGGTCGCGCGCCTGATGGCCGAAGCGATCGGGGCGGTCCGCCCGATTGATTACTCGGATGCGGCCATGCGCGATATGTTGATTGCGGCCCTGAAGCCAGGCGCGAAGCCGTTTGCGGGCGATTCTTCCGCGGAGTGGCGCGATTTCGCGATTAAGCCGTGCCGCATCAATATGGCGCTGCGGACACAGTCGCGAGCGATGGAAGCCTTCGGGCGGAAGGCCCCCGCCCCGTTGGTGCGCGAGGGCGCGGGCCGCCGCGCGGCGTGCCGCCAGGAGGGTCAGCAATCGGCCCCGGCGGAGGCGGCCGCCAAGCCCGCGGAGGAGACGACGCGGATTGCGGCGGCAATGGAAGAATACGTGAAGGCCAGCAAGGAATTGCACGAAGAAAAGCGGGAGAAGCCGCTGGCGTTTGCCATGGAGGCGCGCCGCGTTTTCGCATGCGCAGGCGGCATTGTTCGGGGATGCGCGCCTCGGCAGGACCGTGTGCGCGAGGTCTGGCTCGGCAGGTTCCCCCGTGCGGGATTGCCGACCGAGGAGTCGATGCGCAAATTCGCGGCCGCGGGCCGGACGGCCCAGTCCCATGGCCGCTCATACATTGGGAGCGCCGAGGGCGAGAGCCTGCAGGCTCCCTGCTCGGCGGCACGCGCAATGACAAGCTTCCGTTTCGCCGATTGCTCCGCGCGCAGGACCACTGCAAGCCCCAATGGGCGCGAATGCCGAAGCTGGACTCGGCACCAGCGGGGGCGGGCTCGTGGCGCGATCGCGCGTCGGCCGTCACCG